AGCTGGTTTGCAATGGAGCACCAAATTAAGGCAAAATCGCAAAGCTATAAAGCGAAAATTGTAAAAAAGTCTCAGCAGAAAAAAATAATTTAAGTACATAGACAAGTTATTCAATGAATAAATATAAACTTTTTTTTATAAAAGCAGGCTACAACTGGACGGAAATTCCTTTAAAACTACCATACACAACTTCTCAGAGGGTAAAACAAAGGTCTTTTCAATCTTTCTTTGTGACTCCAAAAGACAGGGAAGTAAAACAAATAGTTTTGAAAGTTGCATCCATAAATCTGTCTCATTTCTATCTGTATGAAATGGAAGAAAAAAGAATATCTATTTAGATGTGTACATAAGCTCACCATCAAAATGACATCCATATAAAGCAAAATCTCTCTTTTGAAAATGTTACTTGAAACTCGATGGGATTATATATTGCTTAATGTCAAACCAGAAATCTATGCAGTCAGAATCAAAAATGTACCACTGCCCCTTTTTCAAAGTCTCAACCAGCATCCCATCTCTCTCAAGCAGCAAGAATATACTTCATTAACACTTTGATGGTGCTCAAATACAGCCTAGAATTACTGAAATATTTAGGAGGTCGCTAACTTATCAGTCCCTTTATGTACTACTGGGGACTTTTCACTACAAAACATTGTATGTGTAACTCATGTTGCAAAGTGATAACAGAGACTGTTAAAAAAACTGAAACCATAATTTTAGATGACATAATAACAAGATTAATGAAGGACCAGAATTAATCTGCTTAGGAGGGACAAGGCAGCCAAAATAACATTTTTGCTAGCATACTTTTCATTCTTAGTACTTTTCCACAGTCAGTGTTTGGGAAGAGCAGGATGCTTTAAAGGTCTTGCCATCTGTTGCTGGTTCCACGTACTCACAAACTTTTCTTTACTCTTTGCAGTGCAGCACTTCATTTTTCAGTTTACTGGCTACCACTTAGCACAGCAACCTGCTGCATCCCTTCCCCTCACTGTGGAGAGCTGAAAAGCAGCATTTACCTGCCTTGTAAATTCTGCCAGCTTCTGTCAGACATTCAAAGGGGCCATATGTCAATATATAGGGACCTTGTGGAGCAGGATCTCCCATGGGAAGGGGAATCACATCTCTTGTCCTACAACTCTGGCCTTGGGGGTGACATGATTGGATTACCCCAGCACCGGTGGTCCCCAAGGGCCTCTCTATAAGCAGCTGCAGAGATGTACGTTTGCCGCATTCAGCAGCAATCAAGCCCATCTCTCCAGCCACTGCTTTTCAGCAAGGGATACATCCGTAGGCACGGCGCTGTGTTAACGCAGCTGGGGAGCCTGGGAGCCAGCACTCGCTCACTGTGGACCAGAGGGTATGGCCCGGCTGCTCCCACCCGTAGCACACACAGACATCTCCTGGGGCATGGTGACGTGGTGCTACGGAAGGTGACGTGGTGCTATGGAAGGTGACATTGTTCTAGGATTAGGTCTACAACCAGAAGCTGTTCATGTTTTGCATCTCTCTCAATCAGATCAATGATGTCTATGTCTTATGAGGAGGAATTGAAGGAAAAATTTGATTTTGTAGGATTATAGAGCAACATTCTCACCCTCGTTTCAAAAGTAATCCTCAGTTACACTCAGATCCGAATGCTGAATCCAGTTTTGGACATTACTTCTTCAACTGAGCTTTGTTCATAAAATTGCATTCCTTAATTGTTTTTCATTTTCTTACCCCAGTTAGCCAGCGAGCAGGAAGCCTACTTTTACACGGCCAGTTTTACCTCTTTCTATCCAGTCCCGACCGTAACCATGCCAAGTGACCGCACCAACGCGAGCAGCCGGTGAGCACCACAGGAACTCAGCGCAGAAGGACTCACTTTGGCTCATCATCAAAACTTGTTGGCCCTTCTCCGGTCCCGTATAAGGTACCAGTAAATCCCAGGCTTTGCAGTCTGAACCGGTGGTTGAAGTTTTAAGACCTCAGTCACTGCCTTAGGTGCATCTTTCCTCCGGTATTAACTTCTCAGTGAGACAAGCAGGCTTTGTACTCCTTCTTTTATGTTTTTTCCTTTCCTTCACCTCTTTCCATTTCCCCAGGGAACGCCCCCAGCCCGATCTCACAGACTTCTCCTTTGCTTTCCAAGGGACTGCAGGACAACAGCTATGTTTACAGGACGTTTGGCTCTAACTACTTGAACTGCTTAACTGCCTTAATTACTTTAACTTTGAACCGGTTTTACTCTCCACACTCACCCTCTAACAGATTCGAGCCTCAGAAGAGTTAGTGCGAAGTATTCCAGCACTTTCTCCCGGCTGAGAACGCGATTGCTGAAGAGTCAAAGAGGTCACGTAAACAGCGGTGCAGTTCTGAACCCATCACTTTAACAGCGTATTTGCAGTTATTTGCTAGGTCGTTGTACAAATGTTTTGTTGGCATGTGCCTCAGACAAATGTGCTTGCAGACTATTTAAAAAATGTTTTGCCAAAGAAACATGAGAATGCTTTCCATGTCACATTTTTGCCTCAGAAAGGTTATATTCGTACCACAAAACTCCTCTTTTAGTTTGCTAAAAATAGTCTTTTTGAGAGACTGTGTGCTTTAAAGTTTGTTCCAGTCTTTCCAACTAATTTTATTTCTCTCAGTAAGTCTCTTTCGAAGTACAGCCTGCAGAGAAATAGTCTCTTTTTCCTTACTTCGATGGTTAATTTCTCACTGTATTTTGTTGTTGAATCCCCTGTACTTAAAAATTATGTTTCACTGTACTAACGCATTTATAAATAAGGGAACCATGAGGAATAAGACCCAGAAAACCAGATAGCTGGCTTCTACATGAAAATCCAGAGAAAATAAAGTACAAATACCACCTGAAGAAGAACATAAAAGGGAACAAAAACCTGATTTTGCAGCCTGAGATCATTCTTTTAATGAGACAGTGTATTTTAATACAGTGCTTGAAAATCTGCTTGTCTCGTGGTTTTCATTCAGCTGCTCTCACCATCTCCAATGGATCCTCTACCCCGGCTCAGCTCCTCCAAAGGAGGAGCTTTGTTAGACATCATCTGGATTTGAGGCTCCAAAACATACTTCAGGAAGAAATTTAGTTTCCACTCTTTTCTGATCTAATGGGATCTGGCTGTCTTTTAGCAATTTCACCTGCTTCTGTTTTAAACTTTGGCAGACGATGGTGTAGGTGTGTGCTGTGTACGTGTCCACTTTATAGCCTTACGAGTGACAGCAAGTGCAAAGAGGTCCTTTCCCTCTTTCTGCAAGAGCCATCAGTTCCTCTATGACAACCACTTTGGAATGATAACGTAGCTTCTGTCCCCCCATTTCAGTCAGATGTACCGTCGGTATTTCTGACCTGGTTAATGGGAGCAGGATCACCCATCACCTGACAACCTCCATGTACACGTTGGACCACGGCACTCCTGTATGACCAGCACATACTGGTGCCTCAGTTCACGGTATTGAACGCCTGCTGTTTCCAAGTTCTGCAGTCAGCGGTTAAACATAATGCTCACAATTAGCTGACACTGCTGGTAATTCTGCAGCAATCAAAAAATGCCAGGCATATTTTTGTCTCCTAAAATGAGCCAATGGAAGTGAAACTCAGTTCAATTAACTGATGTCCTGATCTCTCCTCTTAAAACAAACGACTTCCTAGCAAATAGTTCTTTGTTATAAAGTATGGTTAATTTTTGCCATTGGGAAAGGCCAGGCACATCTTCATCGGCAACACTTCATAGCTGAAAATCATAACGGATAAAAGGGATCATTCGCCACGACCTGAGCAGGAATTAGTCTGAGCTAACTGAGTGTCGATGAACGACCACCTCCTTTAGCAGTCTAAAGGGGCTGGACATCCTATGGATTTCTCTTTGAGCTTCCCCAGGAAATCTGACTTGCCCATGGGGGCAAAAATCTTCAGAAACCCATGTATTGCCACTAAATTTCCTCCTAGATCTTTCTTGTCTGACAGTAGTGTGAATGACGACTCGTTAAAAGGGAAATTTCCATCAAAGAAGGCAAAAGTACCCACTCTGATTTTATCTTTTTCATTTTATTACTAGATTTGTGGGTAGTCAGGAAAATATTCCTCTCATTTTCCTTTCTTATGGTTCTTCTCTACTACCATTGAGTCATCCTTTTGCAGAAAATCCTGCAGCTTATTCCTAATATTACCATTTTTAAAGTTAAAAAGCATCTAAGATAATTATGGAGATGCTGAGGAGATTCAGATGTCAGGAGTAAGAGCATAGAAGTTTCAGATCTGTATGAGATCGTTAAGGCTTATGCTTATATAAAAAAAAGGTGAGGGAATATATGATTTCAAGTTTGTTAAAACTGGATCATTTTTTGTCCTTTGCTGGATTCTCTGGCAAGAGTAGAAGAAATCAGTTTAAGCTGCAGCAAACAAAAAGAAACTTTTTCGTTCTTCTAATGGCAAAATGCCTCATAGGCTACTAGGAATAGAAGAATTTTAATTTCAGCTTAGCAACTGCCTTTAAGGTCAGTTTAGGTCAGGGGTTGGCAGCCTCTCACGGGTGATATCCCATTTTGCGTTCTCTGTCCTCAACTCAGACATAAAACTAACACCCACGTGAACCAATTCTGCGGTTCCGACGCTCCTTTGTGGTAAACTTACCACCGTGGGTTTATCAAGACCATTCGCAAAATTCTTATCTCACTAAACATCACATTTTTTGTGTTCCGTTGAATGTTTTTTCCCAGCCTGATGTAGCACTATGCTACAGAGGTAGAAACTGATGTCCCCTCTCAAGGCCAGCCTCTGTGAACTACTAGTGGACACGAAGATGTAGATAAGGAAAAGGCTGTATTTCACCCGAAGGACGCATGGGTGTGATTATGGGCATGAGTGGGTTTTGATACGAAAATCATGATATAGCAGCAAATGTAGGTAACTCTTCTGGAGCAAACTGATAGAGGAGGAGGGAAAAGCTAAGACTATTGGAGCTGATGAAACTCTAGAGAATGCAAATCTTATTTACCTGTGCAATCATGTCTGCGGTTTCAGAATAACTGCGGCACTTTTTCACAGCTGAACGAGCTAAAAAATCATCAATCAGCCTTACGCCAATGCCATATCCCCTAAGGAGAAAACAAAGAAAGTTAACACTCAAAAATGGGGAACTTCTTTCCACCTACCGTCTCCCTAATCTGACCCCTGTGCTTTCTCAGCAAAACAGCTGCATGTTCCTAAATGAATGGCTTTGAGGACAACAGATTTTGCTGGTGTAGATTCTTCTTTCTACCATGTTTTGCAGCACAGTGGGATTGCTGGTCATGTCATCATTTAAGGAAGCATACTCCTTTAAGCACAATACTCCTGGCAAGGATGATAAGAATGTTGTTTATACACATATTGTCTATACTTACATTTATATTTACATATATGAATAAATATTAGTTGTTAGATATGTAATATATAAATAATATACAAATAACACACCTGATTAACACTGCTTTGTCACTAAAAATAGGATAGGCTAACATAGCACAGGATTTTTCTCCATTCCTCTGTGATCCCCAGAGTTCATCTCAGACCGTCTCTGTCAAGGAGAAGAAAGCGAGTGTCCCTTCGGCTCACGGCATTCACCTCTGGGCTGCTGTGGAGCTCAGCAAATCCTGGGCACGCTCACCGCAGCTGTCAGGTGCCAGGAAAACCCACAGGAAAAGGACTCACACCTGATCTCTTTCACTTTATCCTCTTATCTCTTCACCTCATTTTTCACTCTTCCTCCACAATTCCCTCTTTAACATGTTCTCTCCCTTCATCTAGGAGTTGCAGAAAGAATCCAAAAGTTGCCAGTTAATCTACAGTCTCAGTACACCACCACCTTCATTTTGTATTTAAAACACTACAGCCTCAGAGAAATGAAACAAAAAAGGATGGAAGTTGATGGATTTTTTTATAAAACAAACATTAATTCCTAGCTCTCACACATTAACAAAGGTCAGTAACTAGATAGTGTGCAAAGCAGCTATGCCTCCAAGCATTTTTTGAAAAAGGGA